GTTTGTTTACTCAAATTCAATATATCTCTAGCTAGATAGATTTTTTTCCTGACTTTGGCTTCTTAAAAAGTTTATATCTCATCATCTTGAAGATTTTATAGAACCAAAATACGCTCACGAGTTGTAAGCCTGATCCCATAGCCTGTGACATAATAAGCAAATTATCAATTCAGTATCATATTCTAATTTAAAGTCGTGATATGCTAGAGATAATCGACATAATTACTATATAGAATTTTTGTTGATAGAAGCTCTATCTTGGAGAAAAATAATTTGTGTTTGAAAAATAGTGGAGAAATTGATGAAACAAAAACAGGTAAAGACCAAAACGAAAGATAACCTAAATATATAATAAGATATCTTGATAGTGGGAAAAGAAAATACCTTGATGAAGATGGGATTATCAGCTGATAAACTAACGTAAACGAGACATGGTCCACACACCATTCTCGCCAATGTGAAGATAAGAGCAAAACACACCTATCATCAATTTAATATAATTATGAGCTAGATAAGAGCATTTAGAGTATTGGAAATTATTACCCAAAGTGTACTTTTCAAGAAAAAAACAAAAACAGATCGAGTAAAGCGAACAACGGATAGAATACAGTATTTCGGATTGTTAAAATTATTATTTCAAATGGAAAATATATATGAGAAACTAAAATATTACTCGGGCGGATAATTATAGATAATATTGGATGACAATTAAATTTTTAATAATAATTTTTAGAAATTTTAATTAATTTTCGGAAAATTTTGGAATTTACAAAGAAATCTATATAGTTTGAAAAGAAAAACGTATTCATCCAAATGGACAATTCAAATATTTCGGATAGTTGTACTTTTATTTGTGGGAATAAATTACTTTGAGTCAAATGAATAATTTTTAATTTTATAAAAATATCGGATAATTTGGTTTCGAATATAAAAAGAACCGGATTACCGAATCCAAAATGCAATTTTTTTTAGTTTCTATTATACAACTAAAGCTAGCATTCAAACAAATAAAATAAAAAAAGGTAAAAGAAGAATAATAATTTATATAAAAAGAATTAGCCTTTGTATATATTATAGAATGCTTTCTTCGTAGTCAAAGAATATATGTGTGTGTTGTGTATATATGACTCACATCGGCGGCTAGATTGAGTTTGGTGTCTCTGTATCCAATCTCTTTGAGAATCTCCCTGAGGTGGAGAAATGGACTCGATATCTCTGCTACCCACAGTGTAGCCAAGATCTCAGATCCAGACTTCCAGAATTTATTTCACAACAAATGATACCAAAAATCAATAAATCTATTTACATAATCTGGTAGTTAGTAGTTACCATTAAAAAGAAAAGAGAGAAAGGAATTCATGATTAAATACCTTTTGGTAGGAAAGTCCAGCTAAAAAACCAAGAATGCTAACAAAATGATGAACAGCATTATCAATGCTGATGACTTGATCAAATTGGCAACATATGAGATCGTAGATCATGTACGACAGTGAAAACGCCATTGTATCCATCTGTTTGTTTTTTATTTCATTTTGGTTACAATCGATGATGCATGCGCAAGTAAATACGCCTAAAAGGAGTCATTATAATTACCTTAATGGTAAAAACAAAAGCCTTGCAAGCAACCAAAAAAATTGTTTTCGTTAATGTTTTGATGATTTTCGACGACTTATCCTTCATTTAATTGTAACATGATTGATTTTTTCAGTAGCATACCATTTTTTTTTAATGTGGATGCCTAACTTAAACGAATATTAGAGTTTTAATTCTCAAATATGAGGTTTTATTTTGTTACAATTCCATTTGATACATTACGAAAAAAGCATATGCCCATAAGGTTAATTTAAATGAAAAATATCAGAATTCCACCCAAAAAAAATGAAAAATATCAGAATATTTGCTTTTCATTTCCGTTTTTTTTTTTTGTTTTAATAGACATCTACCAATTTTTATTTTGTAATTTCACCTCCAAATCTTAAATATTTACCAAATTAATACACGCTTAAATTAAAAAAAAATTCTTTTGATTTAACTAAAAAAACATTGTTTCGACATTTTTTTCCCAACAAATTGACTTGTTACCACCTTATTTTGACTAATGATAAATAAAATATCGTCTAATCAAAAAACTAAATTGAAATTTTCAGCACTAATTTGTAAAACTCATAAAAAACGAGACTTTTTGTGAAACGAATTTAGATAAATAACCAAAAGAATCAATGTGATTAAGGAACCTGTTTTTGAGATGGTTTAGAAGCAAGGGGACAAACAGGACAAGACCAATCTTGAACAGAGAGAGTTGCTAAAGTGACTGCGATTGTGGCATGAGCCGTGGAGAGAAGACGGTTGCTGAAACTGAAAGAGTATTTTGAGAAGATTCTTCGTGTGAAGATAAAAGTCAACCCCCATGAAATTACTCCAAAAACTATGATCTTAGTTACTCTTATGTTTTCTTCGTCCATTTTCTCCACTTACTTGCAAATCCAAGACCTCTTATGCTTAGTTTTGTGTGTGAGTGATAAGAGAGTTATAAGAAGAAGAAGAAGAGGGTTTGAGTGTGTTGTTTAATGGACCGACATTGTTGGTTGTATGTAGTATTTATGGTAGTTGGGAGCTTGGGAATTCAATGAAGTGGATCCCAAAGTAATTAATAGAGTTTTTTTGTTTGGAATTTCAAATGATATAGTTGACCTAATAAGAGATTCGATCCAATGATTTCGGAAACATTTCCTCTAGCTCCCAATTAGTCAAGCTTTTTTTTATTAAACTGGTGCATTTTGGTTTTCGTAAAGTAGACATTATATATGGAGTGAGTAGAGAGTGTGGAGACCAATTTTCTATGAATAAGTTGAGGTCAATTGGGTTGAAAAGTTATCATCTTGTAACCAATTTATTTAAAAGCTTTAGCTTCTTTTTTAAATAAAACTTTACGGGTCTTCTTGGCAAACTTTGACGGTTGAGGTAAAGGGTGTACGGTACGGCCAAATAAGTTACCAACCAATATTATGTGTTTGTGTCTAATTGGTATAACAAAAAAAACAACAACAATTGTACCGTCCAAATAAGTTACCAACCAATATTATTTGTTTGTGTTTGACTGTCAAAACAAGAAAATACAACTTTTTAGATGGTATAATAGCAGTACGAAAATAATTGTAAAATTAAAAACAATACAAATAATGATAAAAAATGATAATACATGGAAAATAGTAAAAAAAAAATTGTAACACTATTTTACTGTTGGTTACACAAGGGATAGTGCAA